TACTGCAATATTTGCAGATTGTTTATAGTGTACATATTGCAACAGGCATGACTATTTCAGGAATGAACATTTCTAGTCGTATCCTTGCATATCTCAACGTACAGGTGAAACACATACATTTCCATGTGGGGGAGAAAAAGCAGCATTTTACTGGGAGAACATATGTGTTACATTCAGAAAATCCTAGAAAGAGTTCCCAGTATCTTCAGTTACTTGGGAGACCTTGGGGAGCTGCTGCCAGCCACAGTAGATGAAGTAGACAATTCTGATCTAGATAGACCAATGGTCTGACTTGGTATAAGTTAGCTTGATATATTCATATATGTTAACACACCTTCAAGAGAAGGTCAATAATGATGCTTTTTTAAAAAAAATCCTTCCCATCATTCTTTAACTGTTCTCGAGTGATTTATTTTGGACTGTAATGAAACTGAATAGAAGTTAGCCCAGATTTTACTAAAGTCTGCCAAATTTTACAAGTATTTTATTAAAGTTATATACCTATATAGGAGCATTATACCTATATAGGAACAGTATACATTCATCAAAGGAAAATATGGAAATTATCCAGGTTTGTATTATAATAATAGACCCATAAGAGACCCATACATATATATTCTGCAGTCTATAGTGTGGAGCAATACCTATGGGAATCCTATTGATATACACAGCATGGGAAGGCGTTCCTTACAGCCAGAGGCACAGCCAAGCCTTATTTATTTATTTATTATTTATTTAATTGGATTTTTACCCCGCCCTCCTGCCGAGGCGGCTCAGGGCGGCTTACAACAATTTAAAACAACATACAATTTAAAACCAGCAAATACAAAATATAAAATGCAATAAATACAGTACAACTAAGTAAATCCGGCAGCATCCTGTGGTAAAATGCTAGTGTGACCCAGCCGGTGCAGTCAGTTCTTATTTGAACGCTTGGTGAAACAGCTCAGTTTTCACCACTCTATGGAACTGCTGGAGGTCCCGTAGAGCTCTAATTTCATTAGGGAGCTCATTCCACAGCATTGGCACCACCAGGGAGAATGCCCTGGTCCTGGTTACCATCAACCTGGCCTCCCTAGGCCCGGGGGGGGAGGCGGTGTGATCCAGACTGCAGTGCTCTTGGGGGAATGTATGGGGAGAGGCGGTCCCTCAGGTAGGCAGGCCCCTGACCATTTAGGGCTTTAAAGGTCAAAACCAGAATCTTGAAGCAAATCCGGAATGCTATTGGGAGCCAGTGCAATGACTTCAGCACAGGCTGTATGTGCTCCCACCTGGAGAGACCCATCAACA